TAATGTTTAAAGTGCTCTTGAGCTATAGTTTTCCAGTTTTCTGAACTTTTAAAAGATTTTCTTTGGAGTTTCTTTCAGTCCAGTCCTTGTATCTGACCATTATCATAAGAATTTTTTTTTTAAATTCCTGTTAAACCACTAAACACCAAAACATTCAAGCATTCAAGCATGCGACCCAAGGTATGAACCACATAACAGAGAACCAATTTTAAATTATATCTTTGGGCTGCTTGTTACTTGTAGCCTATCACAGAAATCAACTTGTTCCCATATCTTTAGCAAAATCTATGAAAAATGCCAAAGATGACAGTTTCACTGGCATAAAATAGTATTTTTACACCAAAAACGTTAATCACAAAGCACTACTGACATATTTCAGCATGTTTTGCAGCGTGTCCCTGAAGATATCTGGGGAAACTGGACAAATGGATGACAAAGGAAGAAGTGGCAGACCTAAAGACCAATAATCTTTTCTGGCATCGTTGTATTTTTACTCAGTGGTATATAGCATTCGTATTCTATTTTTATCTTATTGTATATTTTTATTCCATTTTATTCTACTGTATATATTATTCTATTCTGTACAGCTGTGTACTGTATTTATTCTTATTGTATTCTAATTTTTGCGTCATAACTTTTGCACTGTCCACTTCCTGCTGTGACAAAACAAATTTCCCACGTGTGGGACTAATAAAGGTTATCTTATCTTATCTTATCTTATCTTAAAAACAAATATCTACAGCAGGTGAACAGTATTTGACCACACCTTTGTGTTTCAAAGGTAAGATATCTCCGCGCTTCCTGCCCATTGATCCTGCGATAACCTCACCTTTTGTTAATCTTCTCATTCCCTCGCTACTACTTAGGATATTCTACATGCTGGAGTCTTATGTGTTGCATTTGTGTTTGATAAAATGTCTTGCTTTAAGTGGCTTACTAGTTAAGGACTAGTGTAGCACCTGACCTTTTTTTAAAAACCACAAATCTGTGCTGATGCCGAATGTGTAGAATGTCTTTGACATCAAAAAGACATCTGGGTGGAAACCTGTGTTCATGTAATCTTCACTTCTATCTTCACTTCATCCTAAAATGAGCTCAGGCCCAGAGAAGACAGCATTGTTTCTGATCTTGTGTACATATGTATATTTTCTTTGCATGCTACAATTTTCTCTTGCACTGAAGAGTGTACAGAGATTTCTGTGGATTCCCTGAACCCTTCTCCTTTACCGTTACTTCTGAAACCCAGTCATGTTACTAATTAAACTAATTAGCGGTGAGATGGTCCACCAGTTGGTTTTTCAGCATAGAAGAAGTTTTCCAGTTTTTTTTAAATTGCCCCTGGCTTTTTTTTAATGAATTCAAATTCAACCAGACCTCCTATTTTTTTAAATCCATTTTAAACATTTCATATACTGTCTCTACTCCTATTTTAATTAGAAATATTCAAATTATTTATCTGCCATTATTTACTTTTTAAACATTCTATTATTTTATCATAAATACATAGAAACACAACATTTAACCTGTAGTCAGCACAGTTGTGTACTGATCATGCCTCGAACTAATGATGTGTTGAAAGCAAACTGCTGCTAATGAGCAGCCTTCAGCACCACAGAAGGGTGGACAGCTCCCCTTCTCTGGATAAGCAGGATTTCAGAGAAGCTCCGCATAAAACTTTATTATATCTAATAAGTAAAGTGATATAAACATGCAGCAGGTGTGAACAACTGAGAGGTCTCAGAGTATACAAAGCCTGTTGATGTGCAACTGTTTCCTTACTATCATATTTTCTGTTGAATGATTTGTTATGAGGATAATTTTAATTTTAATTCAAATCTATTTTATTTATATATTTTATTTATATTTATATTATAGGATAGTCTGATCATAAAGAATTATAATAGTGTAGCCTAGAAGTAATCACTCTGAGTGATCAGCATCACTCTGAGACAGGATGTTTCTAATTTTAGAGATATTGTGTCAATGCAAGTAAGCAGTCTTACATATTTGTTCAATGTGCATTGAAGGACATATCCTGGTCAAAAATGACTCCAAGGTTCCTCAGTGTTACTGGAGGCCAAGGTAATGCCACCCAGAACTGGAATCTAGTTAGATACCATTGTTCTAACATTTTCAGGGCCAAATACATTTACCTCAGTTTTATCTGAATTTAGAAGCAGGAAATTAGAGGCCATCCAGGTCTTTATGTCTTTAAGACATTCCTGCAGTTTAAATAATTGGTGTGTGTTATCTGACTTCATGGATAGCTAGAGTTGGGTATCATCAACATACCCATGAAAATGTATGCTATGCCTCTGAATGATACTGCCTAAGGGAAGCGTGCATAATGTAAACAGAACTGGTTCTAACATGGAGCCCTGTGGAACTACATAATGAACCTTTTTGTGTGAAGAAGACTCCTGTTTACATGAATAAATTGGATTCTATTAGAAAGATGTGATTGAAACAACAGCAGGGCAGAACTTTCAATATCGACAGCGTGCTCCAGACTCTACAATAAGAGATATATATATATGACAATAAATCACAGATGTGAACTGTTTGGTGCAAGCAATGGAGATGGATCCACAAAGACAATTTCTGTTGTTTTAAGATCATATTCCTAACAATAGGATGATTTCAACAAAATCATGACATTTTCGAAGGCTATTAATAAACATCAGCACCCTTAATAACAGCGTCAGTCTTAGAAAAATACTAAAGGACTGAAAATGGATGGAAAAGTGCCATGTTGGGATTAAACATATTCACTGAGAAAAAGCTTTTGTTCTCTGTAGCGTTACTAAAACAGAGATTTAAAAATCCTTTCTGTTAAAAGAGAAAAATGATTTGGGAACCCTTAGTACTAGATTCTTAACATTCATAGAAATATTGTTTTTACTGTTGCAAAGAACTAAAAAAAATTAAACTGTTATTATCTGTCTATAATAGAAGTTACTTTATGAATTACATTTCATTATTTCTTCATATATTAGAAGATACAATAACAGTTACCTTTTGATAACTGTTTAAAGATAAAGGTTGTATTAATCCCAACAGAGTCAAAATTTTCAGCAAAAATAAAAAACATATATATAGTTTTTCTCTACCTGGATTAGCAATGGATTAGCTAAACACTAACATCATTGTCAGGGCCAGCAGGAGTCTGGTGGAGGAAAGCTGTTTAGAAACTTCACTTGATGCCATTAACTCTGTGAATCCTCTAGATGGCAGTGTATGAATGCGGCCACACGTCAATGGTTTCCATACTGGCCTCCTGTGTTATGTTTTTATACCTGCTGGTGTGGTAGGGATTTCTGTTACATACAGAATAACATAGTTTAAACCTATATAAATACATTTTTCTCCATTAACCCCTCATTTATGTTGCAGTTCCAAAAGTTAGGACTATGCACACCCACTGTCCAAAAACAATTTCAAAGCAAAACTCCCAACTTTGCATTTTGAAACATTAAAGAACAACAGTGACATTTCCACAGAAGGTCAAGAGCTATGCTAACACTTTGATGCTTTATGATGCTTTTAATACAACATGACATTAGCCTGTTGCTTATGTCCCCCGATGACTAATTCATACTAATATATGAGCCACAGATTTTTTCCCTAATTTGTGTGACACTGACCTTTGACCTTGTATGCTATTATCTTTAACCATATGACTTGAGCAGAACTTTCTGAAATCTTTGGCTTCTATAAGCTCTAAAAACTTGATATTTTAAGATATTAATGCAATGTGTGATTTTTTTGTGATGTCATATTGAAAAGATCTAATCAAATACACTGTGTCACTTCTCTGCACAAGTGTTGTGCAGCTGTCTTGATGACCTTTTGTATGACATATTACGCGATATGGTTCCCTGAATTTTTTCTTCAAGGTCAACTTTGATCTTGGCCATTAACATGAAGGTCAAGGTCAAATGCTTCTTCAGCCTGGGTACTCATGTCGCACAAGGCCAGTATATTGCTGTGAAGTTTGAAGATGATCTACAAAAAACGTTTCTACTGGTTTTCACATTTGGTGTGACCTTGATGTTTCAGCTAAATTAAATCAGCTCGAGCTATTGTTGGTATCTACCGTCACTCAAAGTTTGAAAATGATATCTCAACAACTGTGGACAATAGACTGCTGACAAACAGACAGACAGGCCGATTACTTACTCCCTCCCTTCGGGGGGAGAATAATTGTATAATTATAACAGAATAATGTTTTGTCCTCTTGCTGCGTTCTTGTTTGTTTTATTTGATCGTCATCATTGGATCACTGTTTCGTGATTGTTTGACCTGATTGATTTGTTGCTTCTATGAGGCGCTTTGTTTTATGACTTTAGAAACCTTCTGATAATTGCTATGATTCACTTTATAAGACAAACAGTTTTTGTGTACGAGCCACTGTTTTTTTTTTTTACATAATTGATTAAGAAGTATTTCCTTCTCATCCCTTGAACACGTTTTTGTGTGTGTATGTGTGCTTTGCACACACACACACACACACACACACACACACACACACACACACACACACACACACACACACACACACACTCTCACCCTTGCGCAAACTTTTTTCACCCGCCCTGATTGGTGGCCTCACAGCCACAGAGGGTGGGGAAACCTTGGGATTAATTAGCATACCTGTGCAGTCCGATAAATGCGCCGGCACGCTCACCTGATGCTTCGGAGAGCGTCACACACAGAGAGGAAGAGGGGGACCTTCGTGTGTAGTGTACGGTGCGAGTGAAAGTCACCGTGGAAGTAAAGCTCAGCCAAGCTCTCTCACCTCACCGAGAACCCGATCAGGCTCCGCCGTCTGTGCGTTAAGGCGCACAGCCCAAACTGAGAACTTTACGCTCTCCCTGGAGGACCGTACCACCCCCTCCTCTTTCCTCCGGCTCTCCCTGCTTGACTGTGCCTTGAGGCTTTCCGTAGGCCACTTCTGACTCTTACGCCCGGTTCTGTTGAGTTGTGGCCGGTTCCACCCAGAGCCCCGGGTCACCCATGAGGCTGGAGGCCGCAGCCAGGATGGATCTGTTCAGGAAGCTGTGGAGAGCGAGGAAGCTGATCCTTGTGGTGTTCATTCCGCTGTCCCTGCTTCCCTTACCGCTCATCCACCCTACCAGTGTGAGTACGAGAGAGAGAGTGTGAAAAAATGTGAAGTTTTTATCATTACACGCAGCATATACACGCAACAGAACGCTTACCATAACCAAAAGGGTTTCAAAATAAGAGCACGGTAGAGTTTAACTGTATAATTTTCACTATCAATGTATTTGATGGATAGAATATAAAGGTATTAATATTCTATTGGAAATTATTGACATATAAATGCGTCAAATTTATTGAAGTTAATTCGTAGTTCGACAGATACACTTTTTTTAAATGCACAGATGTGAAACATTTAAAGACGAAATGACGAGAAACTGCTTTTAAAGCACCAGAAAATCTCTTCAAAGCATTAAATGTGATGGATATACCAGTGCCTATAAGAAATAAATTAAAGATGTATGTTAAAAATAATCAGTATATGCGAACTTAGGTTAAATCAAACATCATGCGCCAATAATTTACTCTTAATAAATACCTAGCAACCATCCGGCACAGCAGTAAACAAGATATCCAGTTGATCTGTGGGTGGTGATGCTGCTGCTCTTGGCCTCAGTGTCCTGATGGGATCTTGGTCTCTCTCTCTCTCTCTCTCTCTCTCTCTCTCTCTGTGTGTGTGTGTGTGTGTGTGTGTGTGTGTGTGTGTGTGTGTGAGGGAGAGAGAGAAAGGCGCACTGTCCTCCGTTTTGATAATCGCTTGTCTCGAGCTCCCCCGATCATCAGCTGAGCCGTGTGTGTGGAGAGGAGATGTCGCGACATGTTAATGAGCTAAACATCATCGTGCTCCTGAAAAATAAAAAAGTGAAGAGGGAAAAGATGGGAATAAAAGGAGAGAGGTCCGTTCCTCTTTTGCGTGTCTTCCCTCCGAATCTGGGATAGCTCTGTCTTCAGTGTCCTCGGATTAGTGAAATCGTAATGAAAAGCACAGAATTACATGAGCCATGTGCAAGCATTCGCCATTCTGAGACTAAAACCTTAAACTTTTGCTGCTGGGGAGTGAGTTTCATGTATTTTTTTTAAATATTTGAATATTTGTTTTGTTTGTTTCAGACTTTCTGATTGTGGTGTGGTCTCATATTTACCGAGGCTCAGACCAGTGCATTTCTCTGATTTGCAGAGCCTCTCTGGTTAACGTGGTCACCTGTCAGATTCCATGATATCCAGTAGAAAGCACTTTTTCCCTTTAGTGTAGGTCATACTGAGAACACCTCAATTGGGATTAGGATTTGTTTTTTGCCGTGACCAGTGAAAGACAGTAGCAATCAGCAAACCAAAATTGAAGCTTTAAAACACCCTATCAGAGCACATCACTGTATTTATGATGCAAATGGTACACATTAGCTCCAGTTTGTGACTTTAATGTATTACAATCTGAGTCACAGAGGTAACAATCAATTTAAAGGGAGTGAGAATGTGTTGGTTTGAAAGGCCCACGTCATTTCAAAACTCATGGCATGCGCAATGCATTTTCAAAATCCTCAAGGTGTTCTGTGATAAAACAGTCGTAAGAGAGGCGATGCGCTTTAGATCATATTCTGGGACACGGCCATAGTGTTTTCTACACATATATCAATTGTAACTACAGGTGTTTCTCTGTGTTTATTTTAATGTCATTCATATTCAAAGAAAGTGTTATGCTCCACAAGTTGACCGTCAGCCAATAAGAGCGATCGCCAAGGAGCCCTGCTGTTATGTCAGTGGTGGTGGATGTTTGGCATGAGTAAGTGGCGCAGGATGAGGCCAAGAAAGAACAAAAGAACAAAAACTTGACTACAAAGAAAAAAGAAACAACCCAAGCAATTAAGTTATATAATCAACCCACAACCACGCTGGATTTGAGCCCCCACGTGGCTTCCTTACGACACCAGGGACCCCAGACTGTGTCGGGAATGTGACGGGTTCAGAGTAACATTGTGTGTGTGTTTGGAGAGGTCCTGTGTCCAGCTGCAGCTGAACAGGACATCTGTAGGATGCAGTCAGGCCAGGTCAGAAAGATTGAGGACAGGAACAAAGAAGCAGAGTCAGTGGCAGATAAGCACAGTGCTTATCAGAGGCGCACGTGTGCAGTTTCACAACTTTCCAAAATTTTTGCTGAGTCCAGACAGCTACGTATACACACACACGCAAAGAGATGTTCCCTGGCCTTTGGCTTGGCTGCTGTGATGCACACACTGAAAAAATGCTGCTACTGTTAAAAAACTGGCAGTTAATTACGATTTATATTTGGTGAGCCTCTGAATTTTTCTTTAGCAGAAATCTGGCATTTGTGGTTTTTAGCTGTCTTGTCATGTGGATGGATTGCCAATGAATGTACCCTGTAGGACGATAACTGTAGTGATCAGGACAAATATGTGTATGACTCACCTAAGATGGTCTTTTTAGCTGTGATGTGTACTGATGTTCTTTTAAAAATGCTTTTATTGTCAGAGCAATTTGGATAATTAATTTGTTTGACTGATATGTCATCCATTTGTTACCCAGTTCAGGGTAGTGGGGTCTGTAGGTGTGTACTCTATAACTGATGAGATAGCCGAGGTACACCTTGGACAGGTCAAACTCCAGTCTTAGAAAAGGAAGTTTCATCAGTGTTGTCAGTATCAAGTCAGTTTTCATGTGAGTATTTTTCCATACAAATGGGCACAGGAGTGAACCATGTGCATGTTATCTATTGAGCCGTTTAGCCTTCTGCTGATTGACTCAGTGAAAAACGTTTGAGCTGTGATCTAATCTGCCTATCAGACATCCTTAGGTAACTGTCTTTTCTTTTTCTAAACTGAATAATATTCCTGTTCATTTCCCAAGCTGATCACGGATAACAGTTAGTTAACGAGGCAATCAGTGGGCTTCTGTTTAGAGAAAAGCTGACCTATCAGCTGTAAAACACTGAGATTTCAAAGAAAAACATCTTTTCTCATCCCAGTAAGCTCACAGTAATCGCTTTGCTCAAAGCTTCTAAAACCACACCGGGCTCCGATGCAAAAGACTCAAGAAGTGTCTAGTGAATAGCTGTAAAGAGAAAACTTTTGCATTCCTCTTTCTTCCTCACAGATCTCACAGGAAAGTAGGAAACAACAAGTCCAGGGGATTGTTACAAACAAATTATGAGTCCTTTTGGTGTCCTGATTGTTAAATGCATTTAAATGGTCTAAAGCATGATCTATTTCACTGTTTACATTAGCACAAAGAGAGTAATAGGATGCACTGTCACTTATGGATTTTTCTTATGACAAACTGCAGCTAAATACCCAGAATATAAAAACTTATATTTTTCTTCTCTGCAGCATCTTGCTTGAGGAAAGATACGATTGTGCCTGAAGGGTCCATTACAGTTTGTTAAGCCCTTTAACATTTTCCCTCTGGTTCTCCAATATCACATTTTGCAACAGAAGCAGAAATCAAGTGAACTCTCACCTAGATGGAATACAAAAAACAGCATCTCACACTTTCATGCCTGTCACAGCCGGGGTGGCCGGTCAGTTGTCCACTTTCCCTCAAAAATGGCCCTGCAGGTGGCACTTTCATAAAATATATGTAGGCTGATTTAAATTTTGTCACCACAGAGAGTTGCTAATTTTGTAGTTGAAATGATTTTTAAGATTAATAACTGGTTACATAACCTTCAGAGAAGCCTGCCTTAAATCAGCACAAGCACAGGTTATCTTTCATGCGATGACTTCGGAACCTCGACACTTTTTAGCGTGAAGTCTTTTCAGCACAAAGGTTGAAGTACAATGGCTTTAAAAACAAGCCAAACAAAGAAGCCAAAGAGTAGGATTTGAGGATCTAACTGAAGCTGCAGTTTCTGTGGGGCAACTGTGCTCTGATAAATAGTGACCAATAATCAATCATGGATTACTGCTGATTTGTCTTTTTTGTTGATCTGTCCATTTGTTTGTTCTTTCCGAAGGTCACATTTCTTTTTCTCTTTACATTCTCATCAGTGTGCTTTCCCCCCCGCAAACCAGTAGTCAGACCTCTGGTATGGCTTTAATCCTATCCCCCCCAGGATTAATAAAGCATTCTGATTCTGATCTGGCAGACTTCCAGCACGTCCTCGGTGTGGTGTTGTGTCCGACACAGGCAGGAGCTGTAAAGCTAGCTGTTAAAGTGCAAAAACTCATTATTTGGACACAATGTCTCTCTTTATAATACTGGAATGTTTTCTTAGTGGATTTAAATTGTTGTAATCTTTTCAGTGGCGAAGTTCTCTTTGATTATGAACCCCAAACATCTCATTTGGTCTAATCAGGCAGCTGCACCTAATGCCTGGAAATGCCTCTTAAATCTTTAGGAGCGTTTCCAAAAAGTAAGCACCTGTCTTTAGAGTAAAAACCTGTGTTGTCAACAGCAAATCAAAAACAGAGCAACGTCAGAGCACATTTTATGCTTCTGCTTATTTTCTGTTAGAGTGGTAGATGCTTGTTAAATATGGCCAGTGCTTCATATAATGAGAGCTTTGTATGTGCAAGTAATCCCTGTGAGCCAACAGCTCCGGCTTTAAAATGCTCTAAATGCCCCTTTTGAGACATTTTAACATTTTTGGCTGTCTGTGATATCAGTTAGAGCAGAAATAGGGAGTCGTCTTCACACACTGGGGTTAAGGTTAAGATGTGGAGTTCCACAGGGTTTCGTGCTAGGACCACTTCCGTTTACATTATAGATACTTCCTTTAGGCGGTATTATTAGAAGGCATAGCATACATTTCCATTGCTGTGCAGATGATACCCAGTTTTATCTACTCACAAAGCTAGATGACCAGTAAATTTAACTGCAGGAACATCTTATAGACATAAAGACCTTACTCCATCTGTGCAATATGTCTAAAATTAGAAACAGCCTGTCTCGGAGTTATGCTGAAAAACTATTTTACCATCACTCTGCAACATTTATTACTTCTAGACTCAACTATTGTAATTAATTTTTATCAGGCTGTCCTAAAACTGCCTGAGAAGTTTTCATTTGATCCAAAACACAGCAACAGACAAGCTGACATAGACTACAAACAGAAAGAATATTTCTCCCATACTGCCTCTTCATTGGCTCGCTGTTAAATCCAAAATAAATTTAAAATCCTTCATGTCACATAAAATATCTTGAATAATCAGACCCATCAATAGTACTGTAAGGTAGTTTTTTAAATAAATAAATGTGGTAGTTGAAAATAATAATAGGCTTTTAAATATTTACTTGCTTGTTACTGTTTCTATACTACTTCTACAGCTATTAAAACTTTTAATATAGCTATTAAAATGGCTTATTGTAGTTTTATAATAACATTAGTTGTATAGCACGTTTCAAAACACAGAGTTGCAAAGTGGTTCACAGTTTGAATACAAACACATGATAAACACACTGAAGATCAATGTGCATATTCAAACATACTGAACCGCCTTAAAAATGGTCTGCGAGCAGCAGATTACCAACAAGCATTCTCTCATATTTCTTGTCTTCATTGATATGTTGATCGTCAAACTGTAGTTTGGCTATTGTGTTCCTTTTGAACACCATTTTTTTTTCTTTTGCACACTTCCCACACTGGCCACATTTGTACAGTCTCTTTGTGGTTGTTGTCACATGCACTGAGGCATCTGTGCTTACCTGTGGATATTTTGAAACTTCAAAGTTTCAGGGTTCTTCTACAATGTCTTTGAATTGTAATAATCTACATGCGTTTTCTTGCAACATAATGTAAACAGCAGGCATGGATAAGCTTGACTTCTGAAAAGTTTTTTTTTTTTTTTTTAATGGGAGTTCAAGCAGGTCTGGACATGGTTCACGCTGAAGTCCTATGGCTAATTCTCCTCCCTGTGGGTTTATTAACTTGAGATTAAGTGACCTGCTACAAGCGAAATGCTATACTAAGCATTCTTCAGTACAGACTCCAGCAGCGTTTGATAGAAGCTAATATGAAATCTGTGTTCAACAAAAGACTATCCAAGTCTCATATTATAACATAGTGATAACCTGCATATATAATAGCACTATGTGCACCCTGTCTATGACACATTCATTCTGACCTAAATTAAGCTTATTAAGCATTAAGCATAATTCATTTGTGAACAAACTGTATTTTTCTGCAAAGCGAGTGTCAGCTATAAAAGGTCTTAACAAATGTCACGAGATTCAACTTTAGTTTTGAAGATTGGAGAGCGTGTCACTAAGCCCATTGGTGTTGCGACAGAGCGGTATGAGAGGCTGGCATGCTGACATTATATAACCAATAACAAGATTAATGTAATATCAGTGTGTGTGCTAGAGTTTTGTCAGAAAGAGTGTTAGTGTGTGTCCCAGTTGGATATTAAGTACAAACAACACTCCCCACTGCTGCCACAACAATAAACTCACACAATATTTGTACTTGTACTTGTAATGTATTCTAAAAGACTGTGCGCATCCATGTGAGCACATCCACACACACGCATCCATGTGAGCACATCCACACACACGCATCCATGTGAGCACATCCACACACACGCATCCATGT